GTGCATTAATTAACGCTTGTAAATGCTCGGAGATCCTGGGCTGGAAGGTGCTAATGAGTTGTAAAATATTATAATGATGATGCAGAATATTCAGTCTCTCTTTGTAAGGAAGGACTTGCATCTCCCCTTCATGGCTTTCATGTTTCTGGATGCATATTTTGCTACAGAAGGTAAGTCTGAGCAGGAAGAAGAATTGAACAAGGTAGAAAGATTGCTAATGCTGCTGCTTTTCTTGGGAGGGAGCTGGTTGGTTTCATGTACTTCTTTGCTTATTGAATTTTCTTTTTGTCTCTCTGGTGAACCCCTACTTCAATGGCTTGTTGAGAATTCTCTGAACGTTCAGAAATGTCAGGGGAGAAGATTTTCTTCTTCAGATTGCCAAGGCCTTCATTTGCATCCCCTAAATCAATTCTCATACATGATCAAAGCAGTTCTGGAAATTTTCAAGTGTGGGGAAAACCAGTCCTGAAATTTTTTTGTCCTCTAAAATACACAGTCAGGTTCCAAAGCATTAAAAAATAATAATAATAAAGTCTTAATCTACTGAATCTAAAAACACTCTAGTTTTATGCCTGTGTTCAGAGTGTGTATATTGGGGACAGCAAGACTAGGAATTATCTGACAGGTCACCTAAGTGTGCTTTGTCTGCCAGCTGGCAGGGGCATTGCTCTGGCATTGTGTTGTGGAGTTCTCTTTTGAATGATCTAAAAGGTGCCACTACTGCCTGTTGCCTTACAAGAGTATTCTGGGGTTTCATAGACCTTGTTGTGCAGAATGAATCCTTTATATTCACCCTGAATTATCTTTTTTTCTTAGCCTCATAATTGTTTGTTCTTGAGCCATGTCAGAACCAGAAAACACCAAAATTCAAATTCCCCAAATATTTCAGGATTGTCCTGTTTCCTTTTCCAGTGGGGATGGGAGCAGCTAGAGTGCTGCTGTTACAGCTTCTCAGAAGCTGCTCTCTTGTTGCCCTCATCTAATATTTAGCTTGGGTGTGCATGCAGCTCTCTCATGAGCTTAATTACTGCATAGTCTCTGTGGCAATTGGCCCCTTCTCAGAAGTGGTTTCAGGGCAGCTGTGATAAACTGGTGGAGGAGATAAAGCTGGGTTTTAACTTCCCATTAAAAGAAATCATCATCTGCAAACACACTACTATGCAGACATTAATTGCACTGAGATGAAAAACAAGCCCAGACTCTTGGTACCAGACTCTTTATTTAAAGATAACCATTTTCTCAATGCAGTTCTAGACTATTTGAAGTTTGGGCCCTTTCCCTTTCGTCCCCCTTTAAACAAGAGTCAAGTGTAATATTCTGCATGTATTCAAAATCGTTGATGATCCTGAGCTCTAGCAGGCAGATCCAGATTTGATGTTGATGCACCCGAGCGTGTCCTGCTGCTCCCTGTTCTCAGTGTGCACTGCCTGCCTTTCAGGAGCAGGCAAATGCATTCCTTTTCCCCTATCACCCTATCTTTCCTGCTCTGGCTGCTCAGCCCCACTCTGACAAGCACAATAAATGTGTCCTCCTGGGTCCTTGCAAGCCAGGCATTAGTCACACTGTGCATTTCAAGGACATCAGGCCGATAGGTTTTCAGCTGAAACAGAAAACATGTTCTGCCAGGAGCCATTTGTTCCAGTTTTGTTGCTTACCAATAAAATAAAGATCAATGGTTTTTTGGAACCGGAGAAGCAGGTCAGAGAGTAGGAGGGAGATGAGTGGTAAAATGAAGTTGCTGAAGTTAGTTCCCTGAATTTCTCTGAAATAATGGCATGTGGCATTTGGGATAGAGTGAGGATCTCTGTCAGCGTGGGAAATGCAGTTTCCTCTGGCAGACAGGAGGAACAGGACAGCTCCTGCCTAACAGCCAGAAGGACTGGTGCACAGCAGGTCCCACACTGGGTGATTGAAATCAAATAGAGTTTGGTGACACAAAATGAGAAGATGTTGTATTTGCTGCACTTCCAGAGTAAGTGCCAGTGGGACATCCGTGGTGACAGGGATCAGGATTTCACGTGGCTGCTCACCTCGTGTGCAGGGCCCAGCCTCTCAACTGCCTGTTCAAACCTCTGTCAGCAAGGAAACAAAGCCATGGAATTGATCCTAAAATACAGCCTAAAGAAGTGTTTGCTTTACTGAATCAGTGCCTTAGTCACAACTGACTCGGAGGAGTTTTGCTTAGAAAGTGAAATGCCATCAATGCCTTCTCCTTCCTTGGAAATTTCCCAGCTTCAGCATGACTGATTCAGCTGATTAATTCATCTGAGCTGGTAGTGTTACTGTGTAATAAATAAGGTTTACCCAGACATAGCATTTCTTCTCTTAAAAGTGTCTCTTCTTCCTAATTCTGCAGAATCAGAACAATTTAAACGAGTCCTGCTGGTAACACTCAAGTTCCCTTCTCACTGTGGTCCATGGTGCTCTGCTTTCTCCTGTTAAAATGCATGGTACAGCCCAAGTGAAATGCAGAGCTCTTTTAAACTGTGTTTTTGCCACACCTAATGATAATTTATTTTGCAAAAGATGTTTTAATAGAGAATGTGTATGTGAATGCTGACTGGCCAGACATTCAGCCCTCTTCAGATGCCTTTATATTGACATTAAAGCTCTGTCCATAGTTAGGCTCCCAATCAAAACCCAGTATTTGGGTGAGTACTGGGTATGTGTTACACCGTGTACTCATCAATGGGCAACCATCTTTCAACTGATGAGATCTTGCCTAGCAAATCTTTACTAATGGGGTGGTTCTTACTCAGACAGCACGTTGGTAAGCCTAGTTGGAGAGCCACACTGTGCTGGACAGTCCTACTCCACACAAAAGAAAAACACATCATGTAGCACCCTGTCAGCTGAAGCTGCGTTGGCAGAATGCAAAGACTCAGCTCTCTGGCAACAGATGGGCTCCAGGCTTCTTCTGACATGATCTGCCATCCAGCATATGTTAGCCAGGCTGAGAAATCAGGGAGGTTTAGACTGAGGCTTTAGCTTTATTTAAAAAAAGAAAGATGTCTTAGCTCTTGATGGAGCAGCTGCCCTACAGTCCGTGGAAATGGAGTACGTTGGCTAAGGGAGAGCTCCAGAGCACAGGATGGAGCTGGGGATGTTCACAGTCCTGGGCCGCGGGGTAAGGCTCTGCAGGTGAACAGCGAGCACAGGCGCTTGGTTTGGAGCGTGGAAGAGGAAGAACATTCTTCCTCTGGGTACCCAAAGGCACTGGCTAGACCAGACTGTCCTCGTGAGAGCAGGGGCTGCTCCAGGGCAGTGAATGGGTTGGTTTCTCACCTTTGGCTTCTCCCCGTCTCGAGTGTGGGGTGACCAGGTAGTGAGCCCTGGGCTCGCCTCAGGAGGGAGGAGGAGGCTTTTCCAGCAAGATCAATCTTGGGGCAATGGCCAATTTAAATTGCACAGAAAATAAGGAAATACCACATTTCTAGGATCCTGAGCATTATGGACTTTATTTTTATTTCACTGTGGGAGTGAAATGGCTAATAGGTACAAAGCATGAGTAGTCAGATCTAATTATAAAAGAAGTTGGTTGTAATTTAATTGTCAGAACTGAAATCGTGGTATTGATTTTTTTTTCCTTTGTTGAAATATTTTCTCATTGAAATTTTGGATAGTAGAGCAAAGAACTTTTCTATTATAGGACAAGTTCTGTGCAACTTAATGAAAATTCTTGATTTAGATAGCACTTGGAAATTTTTCCAGAGAGGTAATCTTTTGCTTTGGTGGAAGTCACTACACTAAAAGGGTTTGTTACTCCGCAGGACAGACTCAGTGATGCACCAAGGTGTGTTTGTGTTTGGACACATTCCTGCAGGATTGCACTTCTCGAGCTGGCAAACCAGCGAGGCAGGGGTGCTGGGTTAATGGTCGGGTTTGATGGTATTAAAGGTGTTTTCCAACCTAAATGATGGTTTATACCCGATGCTTGTAGCACCGGGTGCTGGCAGTTTGTTCCAGGTTTGTGTGTCCCATTCCCAGTGCAGCCCTGTACCTGCCTGCCTCTGGCATCAGCTTTGGGATGGCTAAAACCCAGCGGTTTCGTCTTGTTTTCTGGAAAGATGTGTGAATGTTAGTGCAAAAGCATTCTGATAGCTTTATATGGGGTTAATTATTTCTTAAATAGCTTCATACGGGGTTAAACTTTTTCTAACGACTTGGGGGCTTAATCAGCATTTATGAAATCAGCTGTGTGAGGCTTTGGATGGGCACCAGGTTCCCTCAGCGGTGTGGCCGCTCTGCTCCCTGCCCACAGCCCGGTTCAGCCCGCGGGAAGAAACCAAACGCAGCCAGAGCGCCCGAAGCAGCGGAAGCACTCCGGGCCCGGCGGGCGGGAGGTGTCCGTGAGGGAGCGGGAGGTGCCCGTGAGGGAGCACCATGGGTCGGCGTCCGTGAGGGAGCGGCGATACCCGTGAGGGAGCGGGAGGTGCCCGTGCCCGTGAGGGAGCACCAGCCGGTGCCCGTGAAGGAGCACCATGGGCCGGTGCCCGTGAGGGAGCGGCGATACCCGTGAGGGAGCGGGAGGTGCCCGTGCCCGTGAGGGAGCACCATGGGCCGGTGCCCGTCAGAGAGCGACGATGCCCATGAGGGAGCGGGAGGTGCCCGTGAGGGAGCGGCGATGCCCGTGGCCGTGAGGGCGCACCATGGCGATGCCCGTGAGGGAGCACCATGGCGGCGGTGCCCGTGAGGGAGCACCATGGCGATGCCCGCGAGGGAGCACCATGGCGGCGGTGCCCGTGAAGGAGCACCATGGCGATCCCCGTGAGGGAGCACCATGGCGGCGGTGCCCGTGAAGGAGCACGATAGCGATGCCCGTGAGGGAGCACCATGGCAGCGGTGCCGCAGTGCCCTCAGCGCCGGGGGCGGGGCGCGCCGCAGCCCGCGGGGGTCCGCAATGGGCTCTCCCGACGCCTCCCGCCCCGCGCCGTTGGTTCGCTCCCTCCCCCGCCTGGTGCGCGACGCGGGCCCGGCCGCCATTTTAGGAGCCGCCGGCGGGGTGGGCGGGGGAGGGAGGGGAGGGACGGCGAGCGGAGCGGGGCCGCGCAGCGCTTCTCCTCCCTCCTCCTCTTCCTCCTCCTCCTCCGCGGGGCCGAGCCGAGCCCTCCGCCCGCCGCACAGCGGAGCCCGGACCAGCGGGGGCGCCAGCCGGGGCTGCGCGCTGCCGTCCCCGCTCCGCGCTGCCATGCCGGCCCCCGCCGCCCGCCTGCTGCTCGCCGCGCTGCTCTGCGGAGCGGCCGCGGCCGCTCGAGGTAACGCGGCTGGGGCGGGCGGGGGAGGCTGCGCGGCGCCTTGGCGACGGCGATGGTCCTGGTCGCCTGGCAAGCCGCGCCGCGGGCGGGCGAGGGGACGGTGTCCTTGGCGCCCTGCGCAGGGGAGGGAGCGCGGAGGCGGGCGGGCATCGAGGGTAGGGGAAGGGGGGAGGATGGAGCTGGGGCCGGCGTGACTCCGCCGCGGCCATTGCACCTGCAGAGGGGACGAGGGGATGGCGGCTCGTCCTCCCGGCTCACCTGCGCGCGGCGGCCCCGAGCCCTCGCAGCCGCGGCGGGCAGAGCCCGGCCCGGCCCGGCCCGGCCCGGCCCGGCGGGGGATGCGCGGCGGCGGCGCTCGCTGTGTCCGCCCGCCGGTTACATAACGGGGCCCGGGGCGGGCGGGGGGCGGCACTTGTTGCCGGGAGCGTCCAGCGGCAGACCCGGCCGGAGCGGGGCCGGGCAGAGCCGGGGCGGGAGCCGGGATAAAACCCCTGGGCAGCCGGGCCTGGCTGGGCTGGCGTGGGAAAGCTCCGTGCGGGGATGAGCCGGAGCAGCGCCTGGGCCAGACCGTGCGGGTTCGCGCTGCGAGCGCGGGCCTGGTGGCTATTGATTGATCCCGAGGAGCAGCAGCATCATACGCATTGCGGGGCTGCTCCCCGGCAGGCTTCTGTGAGAGGCTCGGAGACGCTTCCTCACCTGAAGGTTACCCCTGGCATCGGGAATGCTGCTTCTGCAAGATTCAGCTGATCGCATGATGAGATTTAAGAGCGTTGAACAGCAGCGTACATTAGAAGTGCGGCTGTAAAATGGCTTATAAATACGTTGAAGGGAAGTTCTTGATCTAAAAAACAGCTTGTTATGGGCACATCTTGCTGCAGTTTCCCTGTGTGGGATGAAGAAGCTGGTGCTGTAGTGTGTCTAGGAAGTCCTCTGCCAGCTGTTCTGACAGTGGCCATCATTTCCCTGTGTAAGATCCCTCAAGTACAATCTGTTCTTGGAATCGTTACATGTAGTATTTACCACACCAGTGCACAAGCATAGCGTCTTTGAATTCCATCGTTTGAAATTAGGAATAAGATTAAGATCAAAAGCCGTTTCCCAAGAAAGCTGCTTGGAAACAAATGGCAAATTTAGGCAGCATTATCCAGGACAGCGCTGGTAGGCAGATTTCTGCAGCTTGTTGGAGGCAGTACCTGTTTTCAGTCAGACGTACAGAGCTGCTGGACTGCCGCTCCTGATCTGTTTAACTTCATCACACGTAACTGTGTTACAGAATGAAGGCTGCTTCGGCTTAGTATGTGCAGTTGCCTTAGTCCTTGCAGCATCTTGGCTGCTGTAGGCAGGCCTGTTAATGATATTACGTGGAGATGCACTTAGTGACAAGTAAGCTCTGGAGGACACCTGGAAAGCTGCAAGGGCTGCTCGTTTTTATTTCCCTGTTGTTAGGAAAGGCATTTGTTTGGAAGCATTTATGGTGAGCTTTCCATTTTGTGCTGTATTGCGAGTTCCTTTTTTTTTTCCCCAAGTACAGTTGAATTTGGCAGTTCTGCCATTCCTGTCATTGGAACAGGGGAGTGAAAAGTGGTTTCTTTTTTGATGATGGAAAGAAAGTGAAATAGCATTTGAGGGATGCGATCTTGCACAAAAGGCAGGTGTGAGCTAGCTGACCTACCATCTTCCCTGTAGTTATTTTAAGGGGTGCAGAGAGCGATTTTGGGCTCTGAAGAGGCATTTTCCTGTCCAGCTGGTGCAGAACTCGTAATCTAATCGAATTTGTTTTGGAATTGATCAAGTTGACCCAAATATTTGAAAGCTTGTTGCAATGGAAGAGCAGTACCCAGCGGTGCATTCCGGCTGTGTTTGTGGGTGAAGCAGTTGGATGTTCTGACCAGAGCGGGATGGGAGTGGAGCAGAGCAGTTCCCGGAGGAGGAGGCGGCACTCAGCTCCTGGCTGCTGCTTCCAGGGCCTGACCAGGCAGAGTGGTGGACCTCTGCTGTCTTGGGGCCCTTCCAACTCACTATCATTTGGGGAGGGTATTGATGAAAGTAATACTATCTTGAAGAAACTTTGCTGATCTGTGATTATTTCAGGAAGTTATGTGGTGCTGTGAGTGTCTTAATCCAAACCACAAACCACTTTGTTACTACCACAGTCTTGCTGCAGATGTTTCTTTGACATGGGAACAGCCTTTTTAATATAGGGCTGAGGATTAGGTAGATTTCTTTCTCCTTTCTAGAGGCAAGGAAATGTAACACTACCCTAAAGCATGATATAGAGACAATTTGGTTGTTTGGTTGTTTAGGTGGCCTGTTCTTTTTTGTTCTCCAAGTATTTATGAAAGCCAGAAACCACTGAGAAGAGAGAGAATTAACCAGTACTGGACCTCTGTACAATGTATAGTGCTTGGGAAAGCATTATATACACCCATCTGTTCATGTAAACAATTTTAATATCTTTTTCTGTATGTGTTATTTAAAATAATGCACTGCTGTGGAAACTGAAATGGAGGAGAGATGGTCTGATTTACACTATGTTTGGAATACTCCTGTGCTGGTTGTCTTCCCCGCTGTTACCAGGCTGCAGGTTGTGCTGTCTGTGCTGAGGTAACTGGAAAATTTGTCAACAGAAACTTCTCTAGATTTAATAAATGTATCTTTGGTTTGAGGTTGTAATGTTTCTGCAGACACAAAATCACCAGTTGCAGATAATTGCAAAGTTTTTTTTTTAAGGAGAAGGACAGAAGCTGGGCTCCTGGGCTTCAGCGTGCCATGAGAGTTAGAAGGGTTGAAGTTAAACCCAGGTCAGGCCAAGCTCTGCATAATGTGAACATCCCACAGCTTAGAATGCTGGTACTCTGGGTAAAGCAGTGCTTCCTGCCATGAAGCCCAAGTATGTGATAGCTGAGTGGCTTGTGGCTCTGAAACTGTTATGCAGACAGGAAAAAACTTCTGTAGTCATAAAAGTTTTCTGAAGAAAAGCTCTTCTGCCATTTTTCTGAGCCTTATCTCATTCTCTCTAGTTCCATTGGGAGAAGTCTCTCAGAAACATGGTTTGTGGTGTTAAGGGCCACATATCTTGTAGCATTATCACTGTTGTCAAAGACAGAAATGATACCTCAACATGGGAGAGTTCAGTGAGGCACAAGCCTTGGTCTTAAATAAATCTTGTTTTGCACTCTAATTTATTTGTTTTGTACTGATTGACTCGCATTGGCTTCTGCAGGGACTAAACCTCCTTAGGAGTCTTTAGAAAGGATTATTGGAAACCTCAGTGCCTTTGAAGAAGTGTCTGTCTGTCCTTTGTTTATCGTATTAGGTCTCATCTCGCTTGCTTTGTATCTGACTGAAAACAAGTTGCAGCTACTGCTCCCAGTGGGTTTCCCTGTTTTTAAATGGAGTCAACAAGTAGAGCCAGAAGTGCCAGCTATACTGGGGTGATGTTTGCTGTGTTTCTAAATACTGTTTCCTTTCAAGGAGTGAAGTTTATAAATATGACAACAGTTAAAAGGAAAGGGGTTTCCACTCTTGCACTATAATTAGCAACATTTAAGATAACATTTATTAAATTAGTGTTTGTAGTTAAAGGTTTATGTTTTCTATTTCAGTCTTCTGTTTAGTGTAAAACATTTTAAATTTCACTTGAAATTAAGGCTTTGTTGTCTTAATCCTATTTAAACTGTTCTGTGGTGGAATCTTTGTTTTCTCTGCCAGGCTTTTATCCAAATTCAAATTTGGTCAGTATATCCTCTGTCTAAGGTCTTTGGTGCTCTGAATGTTTCTTCTGTTGCAGTTGTGGATAGTAAAAATTGCAAATAGTTTCTAATCAGTCATTTGCATGTCTTTTAGTTGCATCAGGCTTATAGCAAAAGTTCCATGTATCTTTGTACAAATAAAATCAGATTTAGCTAACTGGTTCAGTGGAGAACAGTAAACTTTCTGTAAGTGGTGATAAACTAGTGATTTTTCTCTAGGCAAAACACAATTTAATAAAACCCTGTTGAGTCCCTACAGCTATTGGTTTGAATGTGGTGTTTGGAGAGTTAGTGTTAATTGTACAGGCTGATAGTGTGGGCAACTGCTAGATTATAAACGTTATCTTGTGCTCAGGGGTATGGCAGTTGAGCTTCCAGAGCAGGAGTTAAAAGTGCTCCTTAACTGTGGCAAAGAATCCGAGACAGAGATCTGAACCTGTGGGGTGAATTTCCACCACCGGCTTTTCCTTCAGCCAGAACCATAGAGGGTAATGGTGATGTCCTTACCTAATCCGTGTCCTGGGGCATCCCCTGGGTGTTCCAGGTGAGTCTCCTGGGCTCACTCCCTCCGGCTTTGCTGCTGCCTTCAGTTCCCAGCAGTGGCAATGGTAGTTTGTCTTGGAACCTCATACTGTGGGTAAGTTCCACGCTACCAAGGGAGGCAGCATTTGAGCAGAACTTGTGTTCAGTTTTCTCCCGTTGTTTGGACCTGGTTCTAGGACAAGGGCTTTTGATAAAATTCTAGGTTTGAGAAGACCCAGTTAAATAAACAAGCACAATACATCTTTTCATTACCATTGGTTTATTTCAAGTTGCTTATATCCAAAGTTAATCCTGGGTGTTTTTTCTTGGAGGCAGGAGCTGTGAGTGGCAGGCTGGGCAGGACAGAACGCACATTGTAATCAGGCCAGGCTACGCCTTCTCTTATTCAGCTTTGCTTTCAGGGTGGAGAAGGCATATTTTATTGTGTAGCTCTGCACTCCTTGGCTGGACTGTATGTTTCTGTGGTTAGGTACTGCACAGATTTGTTCTTTTAATGATACGGCTTGAAATTTCATCAGAACAGTACTAAATTACAACTGTTCAAGGTAAGACATGTTGGGGTTTTTATTGTCTCACCGAAAGGCATCCTTGTGATCTCTAACATCCAGAGGAAGACAATTAAGCAAAAGATACACAGTAATCAGTTTTTGTCAGACCTTCAGGACAAGTAAAGGACTCTTTACTAGTTCATCTGTATTAACAGAGACTTAGTTCTCTTTTTGTGAATTTTTCTATGCATTTTTCATGAGGTCTCAAAGGTACATTTTCAGAATGAGGATTTTGTGGTTACTGTTGCTGGATTGAACAAATAGCTTTCAAACTCTAGTACTTGTTACTGAGTTTAATATGTTTAACCAGTTAAGAATTTTTTTTACATTAATAATCTTGATTCTGTTCTAACAATATGCAACGTGGCTAGACAGTGCTGTATATTAGAAGTAGTTATCTAGAAGAAAAAGGGGTCCAACTACAGTCCTTTCTGGGTGAGGTGTGTTTAAATCTTTGGTCATGTAGGTACCAGATCCCATCTGAGTCAAATAAACTTGTAAGAAGAAAACAGAAGTCCTCAGAAAGGACTTTGATAAGTACATTTCATTTTAGTATGTGCTTTCAAATGACAGAACTGAATTAATCTGATTGTCTTAATAGCTTGTGATTAAAGCTTCCATACTAGCCCTAAACCCAGCTGCCCTGCCTACCTGTTCATTTACATTCATCAGTTCTTTTAGGCAGCAGGAAAAGGTTGCTGCTGGTTATGTGCTGGATTGTGTTCTGCAGCATCAGCCACGGCTCTTGGGAAGGAAGCATCCTTGCTTTGAGGAGCATTCCCTTTGCTGCAGAGCGCTCAGGCCGGTCTCTTGTGCTTCGGGAGACAATGAGCAGATGGTATTTCCAAACCTGGCCTCGGAGGCACACGTGCAGCCTACCGAGCAGCCATCACCTGCCGAGCAGGGCTGGGGGGAGGCTGCTGCTCTCCCTGGGACGTGTTCTGTCAGCTGGGCAGCAGGCAGGGCTCTGCACCAGCGTCTCCGGGCAGTGCCTGTGCTTAGCTGGCCTTGGAATCTCTTTGTGCCCCCTAAAAGCCAGGCTGCAAGCTGCCTGTGCCAGCACGGCTCCCCACACTTGACTAGATTAAATGCTCCTTGGGATTTACAGCAGATTCCAGCTGAGGCGCTTACAAATAGTGTGAATATTGTATTTCAAGGAAACCAGTGTAGTTTATCCCAGTTAAATGGCAAGAGATTAACAGCTCAGGGCACTTCGTTAGTGTCAAGCTTGGGACAGGCTGCTGTTCTGGTTTGAAATTACCAGTCTGTCTTTGAACAAGTTCTGTAGCTTGCAGGAGTTTTGTGACAATTAAGCTACCCCTTCACAGTCCAGCATTTAATGCTATTTAAGCAGCTGAGATCAGGATAATACTTGGTTCAGTTTGATTGAAGGGAAGCAGTGGTGTATTGCTCATAAGCTGTACTTCATATTTCAATTGCTAGCTTGAGAGTTCCTTCCAGTGTGTGGTTGTGCTGAAGTCAGTAGATCACAAATATGGATAACGGGCCTTTCCTGGATATTCAGCAGTAAGTTTGGTGTTTTAAAATCCAGTGATGTTTGGCCTTCATACACACAAAGGGATTTAAGCTTTATGTTTTAAAATCTGGTGATGCTTTAGCCTTCCAAAACACAAAGGGGTTTAAGCTTTATGATTTTATTGTCTGCAGCACAATAAAAAGACATGACTTTGCTTTCAACTAGGCCTGTTGTTTGAAGGTTCACTAGACTCTGCAGATGCTCAGCATACTCAAAATTCTGTTCATATGTGGTTACAGTACTTCAAGGTTTTATAGAACTCCCTACCCAGCAGTAGTGGGATTTAGGAGGTTGCTAAATTAGGAGAAGATTTCTCAGAACATTAAAAAAACCCCTAAGTATTTTTGTAATCCACGTTCAGAAGCATTAGAATGGAGATGGAGGTTTTTTTTTCTGGCAGAGATCTGTTCTGGTGTTTTTTACCACATCCTTGCAAGGATGAAGATGAACAGATGAAAGGACTCAGATTTTCAGTTGGGGTATAACTGTCCTGGATGTACTGACAGCAAAATGCACAGCTGTGACCTCCTCGTGCTCCTGAAGGCAGAGCTGTGTCAGTGAGACGCTTTTCTTGAGACCAGGTGTGAATTGTGGGTGGGTGTTCCATGGGAGCCTCAGACCTGAGCAGCTCCTGGCACCTTCCCTGGCAGGGAGGAGTCTGTGTTGGTGCCTCTGAGGAGCAGGTTTGCTCTGAAACGCCAGCTTCTCTGGGTAAATAGAGCAGTGTGCTTGGCATTTACTGCCTCTGTGCTGTGCTGCATGCTGGAAGTGTGCCTGTGTGAGCCTACCGAGGCAATGAAGAGAGTGTTGCCATATTAAGTAAAACCACATGCAGTAATTAAAGACAGTTTGCATTAAAACAGTTCCTTGTGAGATCTTTCTTGCTGCATTGTCGTGGATGAAGATAATACATCCTGTCTGCTGTTGCTACTAACTAGTAAAAGATTGCAGATGAAAGCATATTGGGAGTATTATGGTTTCCTGTATGAGTTCTCTAGGTTTACTCATTTATTGAAGTGTCCTTTTGTCACTGTTTTTTAATTCCCCATGGTAAGCATATGGCACATGACATGAATCCATTTTAGTTGGTTGAAGAGACAGGATTCAAGAGTCTGGGTTAGCCTTCCATCTCTGCCTGTTTTGACAATTTGCTTATATAATTCTTTAGAGGTGAAATAGCAGGACTCAGCTGTGTGATAGTGTTCAAGCTCTAGTGTATACTTTGCTGTAATTGCACAGGCATGCGTTTGATAAATTTTAAGTTCTTGATCTCCTGCAGACCCAAACCTGGGTGATGTTGCCTATGGAATGCTCTTTGGTGGGTTTGTTGTAACCTCTGGCAAAGCATTTCTTATACGCATCATTTGCTGAAGCTTACTTGGTTTTGTCTGGTAAGGAGCAGTTTTCAGGCCCTTTAGGATGTTTTTCAATAGGCTCTAAGCAGCTGGATACATGCAATTTTCCACAATTGCATGTGGGAAAATTGTGCTGTTAAGGAAACATAACCATCCAGGAGCCACTCAAGCAGTCACACTCCACCGCCTGAGCTGGGGATCATAACATAAAGCTAAATATTTAATAATTAAGGGACTCTCCTGCTGGATTGTCACACAGTAGATGACAGCCTAGTAGATAACATGATTTGATCTTGCATCTTCAGTGATGTAGTAGAAAAAATTCTTTTTGAGGCTGACAGGGAAAGAGACTGCATTTCTTTGCAGCAGAGGAAGACCAGTCATGTTGAGACAGGCTCAGGTGATCAGTTTGAGGCTCCTCTGTGCAGAGGTGAAGGATACTCTCGTGTGAGATTTTTTAGTGGAGTTTCCCAGTATCTTGAAACAACTACTAAAGAAATGAAGTTTGACCTCTTTTCCACCTGTTTTCTTAATGATAGTGAAGCCCCCTATACAGGACAAAAAGCTGGCAAGAGAACAGAGTTCCTGTTCTGAAGAATACTCCACCAGCTGTATCCCAGGTTTTCCGTGGTGGGGGGAAACAGTCTAAACAAGCCCTGGTGTTTCATGTTCCTAGTGTGGTACTGACTGAGGTTTTGCTGGTGTCACACTTGGCACTGATGGCAGCAGCTCCCCATCACTGTTAGCAGGTTTTGAATTGCACTTCAGGGGCATCTTAAATCCCAGCATAGTCAGAAACTAATTTAAATTCTCTGAGTTACTTTTGAAAAGCCTACAGGGACACTCAAATTTTCTGAACGTACTTAGCCAGGATTTTGTCTCAAATCTTTTAGTTTATTAAAACCTTGATTCAGAATTACAAAAGAGGAAAATATGGAAATTAGTATTATAAAGCATTTTTTAAAGATATTGCCAGTTTCAAATGTTTTGACTTTGTGTTTTGTTTTCTTTTCAGTTAACAAGCATAAGCCATGGATTGAAACAACCTATCATGGCATAGTTACAGAAAATGACAACACGGTGCTCTTGGACCCCCCTCTAATAGCCCTGGACAAAGATGCACCTCTGCGTTTTGCAGGTAAAGAATTCATCTGCATTTCTGTTTGAAGATGTGGAAATGCTTTCTGGGGGCAAATGCTCTGTGTCAGTGTGTTTTCCCTAACAGTAGCATAACATTTCAAAGCTTTTAGATCCTAGGAAATGTGTGCATGGACCAGTGTTTCATTTCAGGTTTGCAGCTGTATCCAAGTATCCAAACCAGAATGTACTTTGCTTCTTTCAATTCCATGTGTACACAGTAATTTTTCTGGTGGTTTATTTTTGTTTTTGTAGTGTCTATCCTTTGCCTCAATCCTCTTGATTCTGCATTTCACAGCATTCAGCGTGGGAGTTCTGAAACAATGATATTCTTACCATTCTGAAGAGAGTTTTGGCTTCCTTAGCATTTTTTGTGTCTTAATAAAGTGAAAATACTAATTAGTAGAATTAGGATTGCATGTCTATAATAAATTTGCTTAACAGTCTAAGGTATTTTAAAAACTGAACAACTTCCTCTGGCTGAAGAAAAGGCTTTTTCTCCTCTAGCAAAAAAATATAGAGAGTGATACACAAGATATTTGCCAAGTGTGGGCTAATTCTTCACTTTGAACAAAGGACTGACAATTTTCTTATAAACTTCTGCAGTAGATTTTTTTCTGAAAAATTTTGTTTTAGGAGTACTGTATTCATTAATTGGATGCAATAGTATGGAAAGTCCATTTGACAGTGTTAGAAAGATGTGTTTGAAGAATACCACTGGGCATCTGCAGGTATTTAAATTACTTGTAGTGGATAACACAAGCTTAAATTGGATATTTGGAGAAGTTTATTTGAGAGTTAAGAATCCTAGTGAAGTACCTAATGGATGTGACATGAGCCAGTTTTGGGAGCATTGCTTAGCCTGGCTTCATGGAGGAAGAGATAGGAGAATGATTAAATTAAATTAAGAGCAATTTGGAATCTTCAGCAGCTGACTGCATTGAGTGCTGCAGTTTTGTGGCAGTTTGGTCACCATCTTCTTGAGCTGCTGCTTAAAGTAACAGTGTTGTTGCATTATCATAAGGCTGTAATTATCTCCAGTGAAGTTGAAGATAATGGTAAATTTGCTACTCAGAAGTTGAGATAATGCTAAACCTCTGAAATTCAAACTTCCTCGTGTATTGGGTACATATGGCAGAGGCTCTTCTACTGTCTTAACTGGAAATAAAACTGCTGTCTGTGGACAAAAAACTTCCATTGCCAAACGGAGTAGTGTGTATCCCATTGTGTTGGGATACACAAAATCTGTTCATTAAGAAGAGGAATGGGAAGCCTGACTTGTGTTCTCAGGGATGAGGAGAGTGTGAATCACCTCTTGCAGTTCTTAAGTGCTTTAAATGTAGGTGCTGGTAGTTCAGCAGCATTGAACAGATTCTGAAAATGGCAGTTTTATTCCTCTTGGATAGGAATGTTTTCAAGAAAGTACTGTCAGAGTATCTTCAGATATTTTGTGGTGTTTGCAGAGGAAAATCCAATGTCAAAGCATTTCTTAAATGAGACTTTTCCCGTTGGGTTGATCTAAATTGTATAAACCTGCTTTCATTAAATGAACATTTTTATCAACTGGAAATTGTATAAACAGAATATATTTGTATAAACAATATATTTTGGCTTTTAAAAATGGACATTCCTTTTTAGCCCAATGGATTTAAAGAAATTAAGTTTAGAGTATGGCACATGAACATTGCAAAGAAATTCTTGTTATGAGGCTGTTGGGTTTGAATTGCACAAATGCTGCAGGAGTGTGCTGTGGGCTCTTGGAAGGGTTTGTGGGCCATGAACTGCAGCAGTCCTGCAGCCTGTCCTTGAGGAGCCCCAGCTGGGTGAGTGCTGCCTGTTCCCAGCTCTGCTGGAGCTGTGCTCACGTCCTGGCACAGGCACTGCTGCTGCCCAGCACGTCGGGGGGTTCTGTGTGAGGAGCCCACGGGGCCAGGGGTGTGCTTTCACAGCAAACAAAGCGCTGCTCAGGATTAACTGGCTGCTTCAGCCTTGCTGCTCTACTCCTGCTTAGAAATCAAATTTATTCATGCTTCAAAAGGCTGGATATTTTAATTAATTGTGCCCTCTAGCTGAGCTGTGAAACTTCTGAACTGTCTGCAGATTTAAAATACTTTAAGTGGAGCTTTTTTGCTTTATTTCAATTTGGAGCATGTCGAAACATCTCGAAACGAGTTCATTTGGATGCTTTGTAGTACATGCGCTGTGGGGCAAGTAAAAGTAACATTTATTGCTTTGCTCACTCTGTGCTGTGGGTAGGACCCTAAAATTCAGGTGTGTAAAAATAAGTGGGGTTATGTAGATGTTTATTTGTATGGTTTTAAATGTGAAATGACACACTTTTGGAAACAGGGTGAATATAGTCATGCCAGCTTGCCTTGTCAAGCTGCCTGGCACATAGGGACAGGATGGAATCAGTCTTCTGCACCATCACTGTTACAGATCTGCTTGAGAAGACAGTGACCATTCTTGTTCCTCAGTGACTATTCTGCATCAAATTGAATCATGCTGGAATTTGATCCTAAATGGTTTTGCTCAAAAAAATAAAGGACAGTTACATTTTTTTATTGTACGTTTATTGTTTGTGCCTAAAACCAGTGTGCTGGCTGAAGCTCTCAAGCAGGGATTTCCCCTTTACTGTGCATAAAGGAACTGAATTTCTGTTACATTTGAAGCAGACACTGCTGTATCTGGATGCCTTCACAGCTGAATGTGCAGTGCAGGCTCTCGGAGCCAGATGTTTGAAGTGTTTCCCTTGGTTTTTTGATGTGCCTGTAGCAGGGCTTCAGTCCCTCTTCCCCCACCCCTGGAGAAAACCACTTCTCAGCCACAGCCCTTCATTTCCCTCTTGCTATTCTAGCATGCAAGTAATATTTTGTGGGGGTTAGGAATTTTTAATTTGAAGTACGGATATGTGGAGAGCTTTGAAAAGGATCTTGCAGAATCTCTATAGATTCTTTTAAAAAGTCCCCCAAATCCAGGAAGCCCTTGGGGTCCCTCTCCCTGGAGGCAGCTTCCCTTGTTGGGGTGGGACAGTGCTGGTGCCACCAGCCCCAGTGTGCTTAGGAGCAGGCTCTGCTGCTGTGGGCAGGGTGGGAGGGGGATTCTTACAAAAGAAGTGTCCTGTAGAGGAGATGACACTGTACGCAAACAGATTTTGCTCTTGTCCCGTCCGTGGCTCACTTGCATAGCTGGTAGCAAACCTAAGAGGAAATTTTGTTGCCAATAGTGTTTCATGCGTTTTTGTGTCAAATTTGATGCTATACTGCTAGAAAAACATAGCTCCCCTCCACATTACTTAAATTAAAACTTGTGTTCATCAGGCTTACAATTTAGTGTGTATAATTTTTGTGTCAAATTTGATGCTTTACTGCTAGAAAAACATAGCTCCCTCCACATTCCTTGAATTAAAACTTGTGTTCATCAGGCTTACAATTTAGTGTGTATATTTTTTAGTCACGAATTATGGCAATACTTTATACAGAATAATGCAAATAAATTCAGATAAATTCTACTTTATAGGCAGTTATTCATCAACATGCAGTTTTGAAAATACCTTGTTTAGCAGTTGGTATTATTAAAAAAAAAGGAGAAAACAAAGCCTTGATTGTATGAAATATTTCAAAATTCTCCAAATGAAAACCTGGAGTTAAAAGATTAAATCATATTTACCATAATTAAAACTCTAAAATTGTAGCAGTTACAGCAAATCACCGCTGGAATTTTAAAATACAGTTTTTCCAAAGCTTTTCTGTGTAATGTGTGCATCTTTGCCTTTTCCTTATTTGCTCCCATTCAACCTTTCCTGTTACTGACATGGGTTTGTCTTTTTTCCCTTTAGAGAGTTTTGAGGTGACAGTCACCAAAGAAGGTGATAAAGGGTTCTTTCTATCCCTTTTATGAATATTAACATACTAACTTTGGTTATGAAATGGGGAATCAGCACTGAAACAGAAGATCCTGTCATGCTCTTTTATCCCATTTATTCTCCCAGTTTTTTTCTATTTTAAAATATATTGATAAAAAGTGTTATGTAACCAAACCCTTGGTTAGAAATATCTGTAAATCAGACATCCATTTGAACCATTTGGGGTTATTGTACATTGTGTGGACAGTGAAGAAATTGTTTGGGGAAATTTAGCATTTTCTGATATTTCACTTGTAGATCACTTCTTTGGGACAGAAGTTTTCACATGCTTTGTGGTGTTGAAGTGCATTACAGCACCTTCCTGCAGTGCACACCCTTCAGGACTGGCTTCAGTGGTTTAAAATATGAATCACCCCCCTTTTTTTGAATACATCTAGACATGTTTTCATTAGGAGTGTGTTGTTGGTACTAAGAAACCACTGCAACTATAATAGCAAAATAGTGGGGTTTGTTGCTGTAAGAAAATCCCCAGCAAAATATAACAAGTTGCAGAGGTAAAAGCACAGTGTAGGTGGTCAAGGAGTTTATGGAGTGGCTTTTGTTGTGTGCTGGGCTCACCCAGCTGTGCCAGCCAGAGTCGTGATGTGCTTAAAAATGGTGTGCTGGGGACTTCTCTTCCAAGTTTGCAGGGTGAAGACTTTGACTAGAAGGAAAGCCTTCTAAAGCGTTTCCTGAGAGCTTCCCTGACTAACATTTGGCCTGTGTTAGTAGGTAGCTGTTGAAATGGATGCCTGAGAAGTTGGTATTTCTACCTTTCTCATTCAGTAGTTTATTTTGATTCCCTGATTTTAGCCAGGTACATTGCACAGGAAGACTTTGTCCTTTGATCTGTTGACAGAATTTCTGTAATTATGGTGCTGAACCTGTACTCGAAGCCTTTTCATCCCTTGACTTGTAACTGTGCATTTTAACCTCTTGCTCTGGTCAAAGTAAACCACCTGCCCAGCTATTGCCAGTAGCTTGGCATAGAAGATATTACCAGTGGCCTTGGCTGTATGCTCACATAAGATCTACTCTTGCCCTAGAGCTGTCTCAAGTACTCCTGTGAAATGCCTGTCTACATTTCTCTTTTTCTCTTTTGTACTCCTGCATGAATGGATGCAAAGTAAACAAGTTGCTTGGAAGGCAGACGTTTGCTTCTTTTTACTAAAGTTCCCAGAATTCACCCATTTTAAGGCACAATGCTCTTGCTTTGTCCACAGACCCTCACAAACCCCTGGCTGCAAAATATTTGGTCATTTATTTTAGAAATGCATCATCATGTTGACCAGTTCTAACCTATCTTTACTTTAATCTGTAGGTGAGATTTGTGGATTTAAAATCCACGGGCAGAATGTTCCCTTTGAAGCAGTGGTAGTGGATAAATCCACTGGTGAGGGAATAATACGCTCTAAGGAAAAGCTTGACTGTGAGCTGCAGAAGGACTACACGTTCACCATCCAGGCCTACGACTGTGGGAGGGGACCAGATGGAGCAAACGCAAAAAAATCCCACAAGTAAGTCAGTCTGGGGTGGGCCGAGGGGAAGTTTGGCTCCCAGGGGTCTCCTGCTTGTGGTGATTTATGGTCTGTGTATTGAGAGTAAATGTGAACCAAGTGTTCATCCTGGAAGGCTTTACATGGAGCCACAGAATGGGTCAGCTTGGGGAGGACCACACTGGGTCATCTGGTCCAACCTCCCTGCTCAAGCAGGGCAGTAATAGTGATAAAAATGCCAGCAAAATGGACATGAACTGCTTGGAGACCCCTTCTCTTGTATCTTACGTGGTACTGCTTTATCCCTTGGTGTCTCTGGATTTATGTTAGAAAACCAGGTGGGGATAGAAGATGGGAAGCTGCTGATACACTTAAAATCTGTCTTGAATAGGTAGAGTTTGCAACGGGGTACCAGGCCTGGACATTGTTTTGGAATTCAGTTTCTAAATCCAAAAAACTGTTTCAACAAGTCAGTCTATTAAGCTTAAGAAAATGCCAAAGCATTCATGTTTCTATCATTTCCAGACAGCCCCACCAGAGAACCCAAGATCAATAGCATGGGGCTCATCTCTGCCTACATTAAAGAATGGGAACAAAGCAGCCTTTAGCTTATCTTTATCTAAGGAAAAACCACAATATAAAATAGTCTCTAGAAAACCTACTTGAGAATAACTGTTTGACACTCTGGTGTGAACATCTGCAGAGCATGTGGGAGATGAGCAGTTGTGTGAAGCAAAGAGAGGGGCATAAATAAGATGAGGAATAGAGTAGCAGAGGTCAGCTTGGTGACAAACAAAAACTTGCTATTCTATAACTATACAAGGGTTTGAGTTTTATTTGCAAATAACCAGTGGTAATAAACAAAACATACTGAATTATGTAAAATAAAACAAAACTGAACTATATAGCAATACACTGGAGAAACAGCCACTGCTTTCCTAGTTAGGGTAGTTGAGATTGTTGGGTTTATTAGTCAGTGGTTGCTTGTTTCTGAGAGCTGCAATGCTGAAGGATGGCTTCATGTGAAAAAGAAGAAACTGATTTGGCAGAATCTGTAACACCCTAAAAGCATTTCTTTGAACAGGAGAAAAGTGACAATCATTCAGAACCAGGTACAAATATTCCTATTAATCAAACCCCAAATCTCCACATTCATGGAAGTAAGTGGACTGGAAGAAAAAAAGGCAGATGTAAAATGCAGATTTTTGCTTGTTTAAAGTACCTAGGAAACAGACTTCCAACACAGGTTTTCCTTTCTTATTCCTTGGTTAGACCTATCTGTGTAATTCTTGCAACAGATATTCTCTGGTGGTATAAATGCCATTTACCTTATGTCACTGGTGTATTCTGGGTGTGGGGAGGCTGGGTCCAGGCTGGTTGGAGGGAGCCCATAGCACAGGAGCAGTGCAGGGTCAGAGCTGAGGCTGAAGGAGTGCCGTGGCTGTGCTGGCAGAGAGGGACTGCTGTGTGCAGTGCTGGCAGGAGCAGGGCGTGCAGTCCCTGGAGCCCTGTGTGTCGTTGCAGGGCCACCGTGCACATCCAGGTGAACGACGTGAACGAGTACGCGCCGGTGTTCAAGGAGAAGTCCTACAAGGCCACGGTCATCGAGGGCAAGAGGTACGACAGCGTCCTCAAGGTGGAGGCCGTGGATGCAGACTGCTCCCCCCAGTTCAGCCAGATCTGCAGCTACGAGATCGTGACTCCGGACGTGCCCTTTGCCATCGACAAGGACGGTGAGACACGGCGCTGGGCGCGGCGGGCTGGCACTGAAAAGTCAAACACTGCAGGGGGATTCCCTTGCAGATGAGTTCCTTCAAGCCTGTATGAAGTACATAGATGGTACCTGGATGCAATTTATGCAGTAATGACCCTGAAGAATTGTCCTGATGTCTGACAATTGCCTTTTTTTCTGTGTCAGGTTATATAAAAAACACAGAAAAGTTAAGCTATGGTAAAGAACACCAGTATAAACTGACAGTAACAGCCTATGACTGTGGGAAGAAGAGAGCTGCTGAGGATGTGTTGGTTAAAATTAGCATTAAGCCTACGTGCAAGCCTGGCTGGCAAGGTTAGTTTGCTGTCTTTCCTCTCTGCTTTTAGCATTTGCTGGTACCTTCAGTTAAACACGAGAGATCTTTAATATTGTTTCTTTGGATAAATATTCAGGTTGGAGCAAAAGAATAGAATACGAGCCTGGCACTGGTTCCTTGGCTCTGTTCCCTGGGATGCATTTGGAGACATGTGATGAGCCAATAACCTCAGTTGAAGCAACGGTGGAACTAGAAACCAACCATATTGGTAAAGGCTGTGATAGAGACACCTACTCTGAGAAATCCATCCACAGGCTCTGTGGTAAGAAGGCTTTTGTTAAAGTAAAAGTGGTCTCTCTTGCTTACTAGTTCTACTTTGAATTTTATGTTAGACCAGAAATTAGTGAGTAGATCTGGTCTTCATTTGCACATAGTTTCCTTCAACTCATTTCCTCACTGGCAGCAAAAGGCATGAAATTGCCTGAAGGTGACTTCTATAATAATTCTCAAATGTGGTAAAGAATCTCTTTGCCTCTCTGCTGTCTTACTAGACTAATAACGTCCCTTGCATGAGATTTGTATTCAAGAGCTGGAAGAATTTGTGTGGAAGAGTATAGCTGTGAAAGCCTCAGTTTTTCTGAGCATGATGGATATAGTGGCTGCAATCTGAGAAATCCATGATGAAAAACTAGAGAAAACCAAGAAAGAGTGGTTTGGAAAAAAACAGTTAACTTGGATGAGTTATATTTGTACCATGCTTGCCCTAGGAATAAATGCCCTTGGCATCCACTTACACTGCAGTTAAAGGTCTTAGAAAAGTCAGTGAATCCTTTGTAGCCATATGGAAGAATTGAGATTACAGGATGAATTATCACTCATGATTTATGTCGTCAACCGCAGTTGAAGGTAATTGAAAGTCTGAGTAGCATGTAACCCCAGAGACCCAGGCAATTCCTGAGCTCTTCCCTGACTGAGGTCAGTGTGACATTAAGGGTACCTGCTGCTGACTGCTGTGAGCAGGCAGTGATCTGGGAGGGGGTGCTTGTGCCCTCCTCAGCTGGATCCCTTCTGGTCTCACAGCTAGGTACAGTGTCCAGAGAAAGGCATTGTGCTCCTGGGGCTGAGGGACAAGCGGCTTTAATGAAAGGGTTCCTGAGATGGAGGCAAAATCAGATTCTATAGCTGTGGAGGTTGAAACTGTTTTGCTTATGATGAGATTAGTTGTCTACCCAGAAGTGAAATTTGTGGAAGTTACCATGGTATTAGATGCCTGTAATTAGCGCCACACTGTTTAAAAGGAGAACTGGGTGATGGTAGTGCATAATCCTGACAGTTGGTGCTGAGAAATTAGTGCTGAGATAGACAGTTGGATTTGAAACCGGTGGTGGTCTTTTAAATTTGTGTTTCCATTTGAGCATTTGTGTTGTAGGTGCTGCCTCTGGCACAGCTGAGCTGCTCCCCCCTCCAAGCAGTGCTGCTAACTGGACTGTGGGGCTGCCCACGGATAATGGCCACGACAGCGACCAGGTCTTCGAGTTTAACGGCACTCAGGCTGTGAAGATTCCAGATGGTGTTGTCACAGTCAATCTGAAAGAGCCCTTCATGATTTCAGTATGGATGAGGCACGGGCCCGGAACCAAGGAGAAAGAGACAATTCTGTGCAATTCAGACAAGACAGGTTTGTCAATACTTCAATTATAAACAGTCTTCTTGGTTGGTCGGTTTTTTATGTGCTCTGGCAGTGCATGTGACAGTGTTTTCTCTACCTTAAGGTTTTCTTGGCATTTTTATGAAGTTGACTTTAAAAATCACTGTTGTGCTTATGTTTAGGCTCGGCCTTAGATTATGTAGCTTCAGATTGGGCAGACTTGTTTTTCTAATTCTATTTCAGTTTACATTATGCACTTCTTTTTCTGTGGTAGATTACTTATTCTGGCACTGCAGCCTCGAGTTTGCATCTCCAAAGATAGCCTTGTTCTTGATGCTGCCTAAAAACATTAAGACACACATATCAGGTCTAGTGACAGCATTTGCTGCTGTATCTTTATTTTCCTTAGGAGGATTTAATTTCTCTTTCTCCAAGGATGAAGTTTTTTTTTTTTATTCTGTGCATAATTTCACTCTCTGCTTATGACACAGAAACAATAATTTGGAAAATGCCATTAATAAGAAGGAAATGTGATAACCCTGTTTCCATAATTGCCATTTGTATCAAAAAAAGCCCTTCTGTTTGCAAGTAGAGCTCTTCTTCTCCTGCTGACAGGTTTATCTCTGGCTCTTCAGTGCTGTGCCTTGCTTTAGGGTGGGTTTGGGTAGAGACTTCTCTATCTGTTCTGCAGCCTCACGGGTTCTTCAGGAGTGTTTGTCCTCACTACTGCTGCAGATATTTTACATTCCTCTTACCCTGCCTGATTTCCTTCTGCATCGATTAGTGCCTAGCAGTGGCTGTGGTATTTAGGTGTGGAATTGCAGAGCAGGTTGTTTTGTTGGTGAGGGTGCAGGAGGTGACGCTGTCCGTTGCCCTGCCGCAGATATGAACCGGCACCACTACATGCTGTACGTGCACAACTGCCGCCTGGTCTTCCTGTTCCGCCAGGACCCCTCCGAGGGAAAGTCCTACAAACCTGCCGAGTTCCACTGGAAGCTCAATCAGGTGAGCCTGGGGCTGATGGGCAAAGTGCCAGGGTGAAAGCCACCGAGGACTAAGGTCCCTGGCAGTGTACTTGGTAATAAATACTTCCTGCCACTGCACACTCCTGTTCTGCAGAGCCCAGCAGTGCTTGCTTTACTTGTGATAAGTGGCAGGCTCAGCTTCAGCTTTTCATCTTGATTATAAAGTAGAAAATACAGCGTCAGTCTTACAGCTGTGAGTCTGTTGTCTCTTTAGTTGTCTTCACTAAATGCACTCTGAGGTGGAGTGCATGAGAAAACAGGAGGTTTTCCAGGTTGATTGTAGCGTTCAAGTACTTCTGAGCATGTGACATCTTCTCAGCCCCCTGAGATCTATGATAAATCGTCATGGTTGTTTAACAGTTTCTCTCAGCAAATACCTGTCTTTTGTCAAGTAAGGTTGTCTTATAACAGTACTTCAGGATGTGCATGCATGTAGATATATATTTTTAGATTGAAATATGCTGTTGTTTAATATAAAAATTAAAGGAAAGTAAGTATATGCAGCTTCCTGTATTGGCAACAGAATAAAGAAACTTTTTATTAATGTTTGGCAGTCAGTTTGCTTTTCAGATGTGTGCCATGTGTGTGAAAGATCAACTGTGTCTGTATAGGCTTGTGTTGTAGGTCGTTGGTACATCTGCATGTATGCTTATGTAAAACATGGCACCAGATCAGTTACTGAATGTAATGGGAAAAAAAAACCAACAGAATTTTTAAAACTCTCTGTGCTCAGGTGTGTGACAAAGAGTGGCACCACTACGTTGTCAACGTCGAATTTCCCGCCGTGTCTCTGTACGTGGATGGGGTTTCCTACGATCCTTTCCCAGTCACTGAGGATTACCCACTCCACCCTTCCAAGATAGAAACACAGCTGGTGGTTGGAGCATGCTGGCAAGGTAAATATTGACAATTGTTAATACTTCTAATTAACTTCTTTTAATGAAGTCTCTGTGGTTATCTAGCGTTACCCAGCAGGTCCTAGTGCATGAATGTAACTTGTTTTGCCTCTTGCAGATGGGTTTTGCTCCAAGCTGGTATCACATATTTCTGAGTCATTTTTTTCCATGAGTGTTTGTTTTCTCGTTGGCCACAGGTGTGTGAAATACCAGGCTGCTCACCAGCCTGTATTCCATCATCATGAGTTTTGTGGTGGCCATGGGGAATACTGTTAGCTTATTTTTAATAGTAGTTCTAACAATGCCTCATATACTTCAGATTACCAAGCAGAACACCTCATTTCAAGTAGGTTGAAAAGCATCTTGTAGGAAAAGTGTTCTCATCAATGGAAGCCTGTCCAGCAGACAGCTCTGCAGAGCAACACGGCAGTGCTGTCTCTTGGGTATTTTACCATTTCTGCTTACAAAAACAGACATCTGCTTTATTGTCTGCTCCATTTAGGCTGCTCCAAGTTATATATATAGCCCTTCTCCAAGGAGGAAAAGATTTTATCCTTCTGAAGAAGTTCTTTTAACATTTATTTTAAAAAATTAAAAGCCAATTTTCATTTTTAGTGCTTTCATTTGATAAATTGACTGCTCAATACATGTGATTCTATTATTGATTAAGGAATCTGTGTTGAAAGTGGCTCCTTTTGATCAGCTTACAGTACCTTTTGGTGATGTACTGTATTAGTCTGGATCTCACATTAATTTCCCCTCAAATGGAGCCAGTTGTTAGACTTGTGTTTTCTTACTAAAGGTGGTTTGTGTGAGGTTTCCTCTCGTGGTTCTGCAGCTCTTGCTGGTGTCACTGCTGCTTGTGTGTGGGGCCCTGTGGGCTGTGGTGCCATGGCTGTTCTGTAACAGCACAGTGATGTGTCCCTGCACTGCAGCTCCTTGTGTTTCCAAGAACTCATAACCCTTGAGGAGCTGGCTCCAATATGAGCAAGCTTTGGGGGATGTGCTGCTTTGTATTTTCTGGGATTTGAGAGTTTGCCAAATTGTAACTACTTGGTCCTTTCCCTATTGTCCTATTCTTTGTCTTGCTTTTCTACAGAATATACAGGAAGTGAAAATGACAATGAAACTGTGCCCGAGACCTCTGCAGGTTGCTGGAGTTTTTTTCCCTACTGTTTTATTTCATTTTTAAGCCAAGACATTGCTTCATCTCGCACACAGCATGAAATGCAGGCATTGCATTCGGGCCATTGACCTTCACATAATCCTCTCCTAGGCTTGTGTCTTCATTGTGCTTCTATTTGCAGAGCATCATCAGCTGACTTCTGCTTGGTTTTGGGGTTTTTTGTTTGTTTTGGGTATTTTTTTTGTTGCGTCCAAATGTACTTCCATGTACAAATCTGCAACAGTTGTGATTGCAGTGAAGTGGTGAAAAAAGTTGCTGTTGTAAAATACCAGCTATAATCTCTTTCATCCAGTTTTGTTAAAGCATAAACACACGTCATCCTATATAAATGTATGTACTGATGCATGTAGGTATGTGTCTTTATTATAGAATTTATTCAGTACATTGGGCACCCTCTGCTCCCCTCTGAGAACAAGACTGATTTCATATTTAGATCAGGCTCCTCATGAAGACAGACCTGTAATTTACAGGGGGTACTCACTTGGTCAGGTATTTATACAAAATTCTAATTGTGAAAGGGCTACCAGGTATTTCAGATTTGCTACAGGGTTATTTCCTCATAACAGATTTTAGTGATAGTTTGGTGGGTTTTGTGTCTTGAGTTGGGATACTTAAAATTAGTGTATATTTTAAAAAGTGGATTCAAGATATGTACCCTGCCTGTAAAAGTTAAGAATTGCTGGAATAGTCTGGATGTAACTGGCAAGAGGTTTCTAGCTGTGCATTGCATTTTAATTTGGCAAGGAGGGAGCAGCATCCAGGGGCTCCAGAAGCTGAAGCTATATCAAAATTGTGTAATTTCTAACAGGACATTGCACCACTGAATATTTGAGTTGTACCAAGAATCTTTTATCACTTAGAATTTCGAAAACAAGCTTAGACATCTTTCTAAAATCAGGTTGCTTAGTAAGTCATGGGCTTGAAAATACACATTTCCAGGTGGTGTTTTGTGGCCCCAGGATTTCGCAAGATGGACTAGCTGATCATTGTGGCATCACCTTCAAAAACAGCGAGGAATAAAGGGCTGGCTAGGTTGCTGTTATCAGACGTAGCTCAGCTGAGTTACCTGGGTTCAAGCTGCTCACTGGAATCCACAGAGAGAAGATGGCACCTTTAGAGGGGGCAGGTAACTGTTGGACAGCTCTCTCAGAACGAGCTGAGTGACTTTGCAAAGCTCCTTTCTCCCCTTGGCGTGTAGGGAGAAGCTGCAGTGCTGGTTTAGGTGAGCCCTCACACCTGCAGGGATGCTGCCCTGTGTCCTGACTAGGAGGAGGTGTTACCTCAGAGGATTCAGGTTTCATGGCTCATCCCATCGTGTTTGATTTCTGAGCACCACCTCGCTGTATGGGGCTTCTTTTGAGATGTTTGTCATGGAACAGCCAGTTCAAGGTGGCCAAGCTGTCTGAAGGCCACGTGCATGGTGAACTGTTCAATTCTTTCTTTGTGCCTGACCATAATCACAAGGTTAACACCCAGAATGGATGAAAACTAACCCGCATGTGTATAATACTGTGTGTATCAGCTGGCATACATACTTGTTGTTTTACTGAAGAAAAAGCAAAAAGAATCATAACAAGTGAAGATTTTTCCTCCCTCGTGTTTTGAAGGTGGTGAACTGCGCATGGCTCAGTTTTTCCGAGGCAATCTGGCAGGGCTGATGATCCGTTCTGGTAAACTGGAGAACAAGAAGGTGATTGATTGCCTCTACACCTGCAAAGAGGGGCTGGATTTGCAGATGGCTGATGGCGTTGGCAAAGGTGTGAAGGTAAATTTGCATATAAACAAAAGGGAATGTGGATATTCCTTCCCTGATCAGAGTTGCAAGTTTTACTGGCAGCATTAACAGGGTGCCCCAAATATAACAAGCTCACCTCTTGTTACATTCTGCATTAATATTACATAAAACTAGGAAATTTTTCTTGTATAAACCTGATCTTAGAAATGAAAGTTACTCTGCTGTCTTTTAAGTCTTGAAGAGAAACTCCATATTTGTAAGCCTCTGTTTTATCAGCGGTGCAGATTGTCTAATAAGAGATCTTTAACAAGCAGCTTCATAAAATGAGATTATGTGGCTTTTTCACTAGCAGGGCTGTGTGAACAGAGCTAAATTTCTCTTATATGTTGGATGTCTCTCTTCTGTATTACTAGAACCAGAACTATGATATGTGCTTAGATTTTTTCTTAAAGATTGAAGCACAAATACATTGCACTGGGGTGAGGCAGTGAGTAGGGAGCTCAGACTGTGTGCACAAGGCCAGGAAATAATGACCCTGTTGCTTTGAATGTGGCTGCAATTGTCCTGCATTTACCAGTGCTGAAGTCCAGTGTGAATTGCCAGATCATGTCACTCAGCTGGGTGTGCTCTTATGGTTTTGTGCCTCGTTTTCAGATCCACATGAGCCCGAGCCAGTCCACGCTGACCATAGAGGGGGATGACATTGACAGGGTGGACAAGGCCATGCAGCACATTTCCTACCTGAACTCCCGCCAGTTCCCAACTCCTGGCATTCGGAGGCTGAAGATCACCAGCACTGCCAAGTATGTCCTGGTGCTGAGCTGGAGCATCCCTGTGCAGGGCTGGTGGAGCCTGCTGTTCATGGACCTCACTTCTGAGGAGCAGAGGACTCCTGGGCTGTGTGGCCATCCCACATTTCAGTACAGCAAATGTTCTCCACACCAGTGCTCTGCTCTCTGCCTGAGAATGGAGTAGGGAGAGTGTAAGATGGGGAGGGAAGTGCTGCCAGAGTGCTGGGAGTGTCTCCAGTGTCACAGCTTCATTAGAGGGGTTACCTGTGGCTCTACGTCAAAATGTGGAAATGAGGCCAAATGGTAACTGTAAGTAAAAATTAATTGTGAGATTGCTCCCTTGGTGGCTGTTCCATACTTTCCAGGGCAGCTGATGAATTTATCTAAGACTCTTGGGTCTGAGACAGCTTTTCAAAAATTTATAAAGCAATTACTGTGTGTAATTGTGCTTGCCTCTGAAATAACCACCTTGACTGCTTCTGTCTCTCAGGTGTTTCAATGAAGAGGCCTGTGTCTCCATTCCCTCTGTGGAGGGGTATGTCATGGTCCTGCAGCCGGAGGAGCCAAAAATCAGCCTGAGTGGCATCAACCACTTTGCCCGCTCTGCCTCGGAGTTCGAGAGCGCCGAGGGCGTTTCCCTGTTCCCGGAGCTGCGCATCATCAGCACCATCACCCGCGAGGTGGAGCCCGAGGGCGACGGGGACGAGGATCCCACGGGTGAGGGTCCCACCCCACCTGCTCGGTGCTCCTGGGTGTGGGCTTTTCATGCAGAATCCAGTAAGGGGAAAAAAAGGTGTGGATCCTCTGGTCTGGGCTAACAGAAGCTTACCTGGAAATGATGATAAGTCCAGGCTGTTATCCTCATGTAAACATCCCTTGTTTGTATTCTGTATTTTATTTTTTAAATCGTTATTTTGTGAATGCTTGTTCTCCTCAGGCCTAGATTTTAACATTTGTTCTGGTGTTTCTGCTTAAATCTTTGCCTTTTTCTCTGATTTTTAGTTCAAGAGTCTTTGGTATCTGAAGAGATCATGCACAACCTGGATATGTGTGAGGTGACAGTGCTGGGAGAGGAACTAAATCAGGAACAAGAGAGCCTGGAGATTGACATGACACGATTGCAGCAGAAAGGCATTGAGATGAGCAGTTCCAACCTGGGCATGATAATCACAGGTGGGGGTCCTGCTGCTGCTCTTGGGAGGGTCTGAAGGGACTGTCAAAGGGAGCAGTTCTAGAGAGGTGGTTTGTAACTCCTTACTCCAAATAGTTCATTTTTTTTAGAATTCCAAGCACAGCAATTCTGTGGAAAGCTGTGGTTCTAGAAAATACAAGATTCTAGAACCTTCCTTGTGTTCTTTACTCTGTTCCAAATAGCAGGTGGAACTGCAGGTAGATTTTGCCCCAGAAAAGGCTTGTTCCTTCCACGGGTACTCCAGTGCCTAGGAACATGCATCATTCTTTTCTATTATGTTAAAGTGTTCCACAGAAAAGCTCCCAGAACCCTTTCAGAGCTTCACTGGGTTTAGGATTTTAGCACAAAACCAGCCCACAGGATTTCAGTGGAGCCCCACATGTGTGTCAGTGGTGTTACCCTTCCTGCACCCTTGAAAATCCAAGAAACCTGAGGTGGAGCAATGGAGTAACATTTGTGTGGGCTGTGAATTCGTGCCAGTCCTTTGCAGAGCAGCTGTGTCTGTCCCACAGGGGTGGACACCATGGCTAACTACGAGGAGGTTCTGCACCTGATCCGCTACCGGAACTGGCGCACGGCGTCCCTGTTCGACAGGAAGTTCAGGCTGCTCTGCTCCGAGCTCAACGGCCGCTACGTCAGCAACGAGTTCCAGGTGGAGGTGGGTGCCTGCCCCGGCCTTGGGGCAGTCATCTGCCAGCTCATCATTCTGTCTATTAGCTGATAGATAACTGATCAGTTATTGATTTAGGTGTTGGCCTGTACATGAGTATTAGGAAATGTGGCCATTTCAGGCAGTATTTTGTACATAAATGTGGGTTTAGTGCTGTGTTTCAGCTTGAAATAAAGTTGTTTGTAGAAGAAATAGTGTGGTTAAGGTGTGAAGGTTGCATTGAAAACACAGATTTTTAATTTAGCAAATGGAGTGAGAGTGGTGCTGCCCAGAGAGCTGAGTGACCTTTGTGTGTCACTCCAGGGATGCCACAGATGGATGTGCTGAGCCCTTCGTTGTTTTGCTCGTGATGTGTAAATTTCTGATACTAAGGGATTACCTTAAAGCACAGAGAGGCTAAAATTGCATTAACTCTGCAGCAGGGTACAGGCTAATTATTGTTTAGTATGCTTATATCAAATAGATGGAAGTACAGTAGAAAGTGGCATTAGAAGCGCTAAAATTTTAATTTTTTCTCTTTATTTCTTCAGAATTAAACTATTGGACTGCTGGAGTTTAACACTTTTGTTTGTCTCTAGGTGAATGTTATCCACACAGCCAGCCCAGTGGAACATGCCAATCACATTGCTGCACAGCCACAGTTCATTCACCCAGTGCATCATTCCTTTGTTGATCTCTCTGGGCACAACTTGGCAAACCCTCATCCCTTTTCAGGTTAGGATTCTCAGCCATTGAAGTTGAGCTGCTTTTTTGTCTTTCAGATTGATGTAATTATATTTAAGGAAATGAAGCCTAATTCTTACTTTCCTACTGACTTTTTAAGTGCCTGTAGACAAACTGCCTTTGTGTAATAAATATGAATTATAATAATATACACGAAATGCTTGTGTAAAGCCATTTCCCCTGGCAGGTGAGGGAAGGGGAGGAGTTGTTGGCACATGTCAGAGTTACCCCTGCTGTGTTTTTGGCTGCAGTTGTCCCCAGCACAGCCACGGTGGTGATCGTGGTGTGTGTCAGCTTCCTGGTGTTCATGATCATCCTGGGCGTGTTCCGCATCCGCGCCGCGCACCAGAGAACCATGAGGGACCAGGACACGGGCAAGGAGAACGAGATGGACTGGGACGACTCTGCTCTGACCATCACTGTGAACCCCATGGAGGTAACCCTGGGCACCTGCTGCCCTTTCCCACCTGTGCCCTTCTCCCTGGGATTGCCCCTGGGCACAGGAGGAGAGCAGAACCAGCTCTGAGCACGGGGCAGAGACAGTACCTGGGAATTTAGGACAAACGTGCCAAATGCCAGGGCCACTTGGTTGGGATCTTGCAGGGGTTAGAGTTTTGTGATGGAGAATGGGATTTTACAGGCCAGTGTCCAGCACTAGTGTTCATCATCATGTGCACAGTGCCTTAAACACAGCCTGCTTTTGTCTAAACTCACAGGAATTTATTGTCAGAACATCTGTGTTTATGATGTTACCTTCTCCTGTGGCTGACATGAATTTTTAGAAAATTGGGGACAAGAAAGATGTGTGACCTTCATGCTCTGTGTCCTGTTGTAAGATCCTTTTCCAGTAGAATTTCCAATACTGGATCCCCTTCAGAGCCACTTTGTGTAGAGTGCCAGGACTGACAGCAGTATCACAGAACTCTTTTACAATGTGCTACTTCCTTTGTCTTTTCTGGTTTCTGCCTAATTCCTGCTGAACTTCTAAATCCAGCAAGGAATCTGCAATAGCTCTTCCTCAATGTAATACCTTGAATAAAGAACAAAAAGAATTTTGGCCAGTTTCGTAATGACAGCTAATTTTTGTCTGAACAGACTTATGAGGATCAACACAGCAGTGAAGAGGAGGAGGAGGAGGAGGAAGAAGAAAGTGAAGATGGAGAAGAAGATGACATCACTAGTGCAGAGTCTGAAAGCAGTGAGGAGGAAGAGGGAGAGCAGGAGGAGGACCAACAGAATGTCAACAGACAGCAGCAGCTGGAGTGGGATGACTCTACCCTCAGTTATTGATTCTAGCTGCTCCCTTTGTCTTTCTGTTCCCGCTCTAGAAGACTCCACTGTCACACACTCCATTGGTACCAAGGATTCATGGTGTTTAAAACAAAAAAATTCATTCTGGCCAGTAGATTGACCCCCACACAAGCCGTGTTTGTGTTCTGTCAGCTAGTTCCTGGTGTTTAGGGTTGTAGTTAGCACCTCTTCCTTCAGCCATGCCTCAGTGACTGGATTTTTTTTACGCTCTGTGAGGAACCACCTTGCACTTTTTTCTTCATGTCATCTCAGCTCAGTGACTCTACAGCTCTGTAGCCATTGCACATGAATTTCTGAACTGTCTTTTTTTGCTCAGTGAAACAAACTTGGCTTTGTTCCTTTTTCTCTTTCTAAACGATGCAAAGATTGCTTGTTGACAAAGGGTAAAGCTGCTCATTTCAGCCTGTTGATTTCTTTTAATTTTTTTTCCCCAAATTAGTGCATGTGTAAAGTGGCAGAATGAGGTTAATATGTAGAAGATTAACAAGACTTTTTAATATTTTGTAAATATATTGGAATTATGTAATTATGTCATTTGTGGTAGTGAAAACAGGGATTGGGGTTTAAAACATGCTAAAGTGAAAAATCATGCAGCATGAACTATTCCAAGTCTCATCCTACTGCAGCAGGAGCACGGGCACAGTTCTTAGTGTAGATGTTCAGTAACTCTGTCTTGGCCTTGATGCCATGTGTGCTCATGCCCCGCTCTCCTTCAACTCCTTCCTTTTCTTTCATCTCCTTTTTTTTTTGCAGAGGGAACAGACAAGCTTGTGAGAGGTTGTAAAGGCTTTAGGAGCCTCTGCAGAGGTTCAGCTCCCCCGTGCACTACAGTTTGTTTTTAATTTTATTTTTTTTTCTCCAATTATGGCTTGCCATAAAGGCTTTTAAGTTATTGGGGAAATAACACTACATGCATGGTGGGCAGATCTGTGTGCTGTGGCTGTGGCCACAGCTCCTGGTAGTTCTGGGGAGAGTGCCTGGAGTCCAGGGTGGGCTGTGCACACTGCAGGCAGCTCTGGGTGTAGGGGAGTCTGAGACCTGGGTACCTGAGCACCTGGGCTACCAGTCTACATGGATAGGGATTTAGGGGTTTTTTGTTGTTAATGTTTTCTAATTTGGAAGTGGGAGGGTTTGGGATGTAGCTGATACCACTGAACACTCCTGCTCCTCCCCTGCAGCCCCTTGTACAGATTGTTGTTGTTTTCAGCCTTTGTTTACACTTAGTAATTGTGTTTTCCTGCTGGTGAAAAACTGTAGCATAAATTATCCGACCAGAAAACCTTGGGAATCACGTTAATTCATGTAATTTGGGTTGTTTCTGATCCCAGTTCCAATCTGGGGTTGCAGAGGGCAGTAGCTGGAAGGTACAAACATGGGGGGGCTGTTTTTTCTGTCAGGCAGGGTTGTTTAACTTTATTTGGTCTGATGCAGAGTCGTGAATAATGAATTTCTGCTTGATCTCTGAGGAGGTGGATTAAAGAGTAACTTGCTCTGCCTGTAGCAGGAGCCTGGGACTGCACTCCCTCCTGAGCACGGTAAGCCGAGCGCCAGCGTCCGCTCCTGGGCGCAGAGCCCAGCGTGCCAGGGCAGGGCCAGGGGCACTGGGGAAGGGCCAGAGAGGGGCACGGGGGTCCTGAGCCCCAGAGGGATAAAGGATCAGGGCTGAGCACGTGTGTGTACAGCTGGATTGCAGAGCAGCCCCCTCCCACCTGCGGGGATCCATGGGGTTTGCTCTGGGGGAGCCTGACTGAGGAGTGCCTTTAAACAGAGATGGACCTGGCAGCAGGGGAAGAACCCACACCAGAGCTTACTGTTTTTTGGGGTTGGTTTTGGTTTTGTTTTGGTTTTTTTTAATGTAAAATTTTAGATTTCTAAAATGGGGAAATGGTTTTGACTACTTAGGTGGTAATTAACTGCTAGTTTTAAGTAAACTGGGAAACTTTTAACTTATGTCTGACAGTTGTCCTGTGTTAATGTGTAGAAGACTTATCCTTCCATATACTGTTGCTGTAGCTGCTGTATTTTAGACCAAAACTGATCATGAATGGTAATACTGAGGGCTTGTAATGTCCTGATGCAGTTTGTAGCCACTGTGGGTATAACTTTTCAGATGTGTATATTGGTAACAGGTCAGTTTGGAAAGTCTATAAGCTACAATAAATTTCTGGTTCTAAAGGTTGTTTGCATTTTTTTTCTTACTGAATGAAACAAAATAGAATCCAGTTACATAAATGTGTTGATTTGCCTGTGCTGGGGGAGTAGGAGAGTTTTGTGGTCATTGCTCTCAAGCACAGAAGGACTCGGCAGCATTTGTGTACAATTTGTCAATATCTTTATTTCTTATTTACAAAACATGTACCTAATGCAACTGAAAAGCTAAACATGTAAACATTCTCTTCTTGCAGAACCACGGTTTGGCTTAAAAAAATACTTATTTTTCAAAGGCAACAGAATAAGCACAATCAGTTTGTACAGAGTTAAAAAAAAATAATGACAGAAACATCTCTAAATAAATAGAAATAGGTCTATCATCATCTATATGCATCATTCTGAGCATATTTATAAAAATGAGAAGCCACTTGTAATGAAATGGAACATTTTTGAAAATGATCTAAGTTTCAATCTTTAGTACAGTTCAGCTTGCTGAAAACCACCAGGTGAGCTGCTGCTTTGCAAATTTGGAGTCAGAGGCTCTTTGCTGACCCAACAGAGCTGTCAGAGATTTATCCAAGGTTCTCCCCCAGGGTGTACAGGGAAGAAGGTCCACACCATGACTCACTGAGATTTTACTGCTCGTAGGTAAGTCAAGTTTTCCAGACCAAGCAAGCTCTGTAAAACTGTGCTCAGTTCTTGCAGTTGATCCTGCTACACCTTTGTGTTATTGCACTTCTCAAAGTGAGGGACAGGACAGGAGCCACTGCTCTGAACTCTGTGAGGGCCTGGCCTTTCTGCTGTGAGAGGGATGAGGAGAGCAGGGGGCCAGAGCTGCAGCAGCCTGACCCCTGGCTCTGCCCTGCAAGAGAACTGCCTCTGCAGCTCTGGGACTGTAGTGTCTTCCCTTCCACAAGAACCTGATCGGGGCTGTGGTTTCAGTGCATCTCACCTTGCACAGCGCCCCAGACTTTTTGCTCTGTAAATTAGTTTAATAAGCAAGGAAATAGCAATATTTACTCTAAAATGGAGCAGAGGCACAGGACTGTTTCTCACTGATCAGCTTGCATAGAGCTCTAAATCCTGCAGTATTTCCCTCTAGTACCAAAGCAGCTGTTAGAGCCTGAGTGCTTCAGTCACAGTATCATCTGAAGGTGTAGGAAAAGGGGCTCTCCCAGGGTGAGATTAAATTAAAATGAGGTGTCTTCTATGCCAGAACTGCTGCTTCTGCCAACAGGTGCTTGAGAGGCAACAGGGTTTGTATGAATAGATCCAAACCAGAACAGACCTCACAGCTTAACATCTTCTATAAAAAGCAGTAAGTACTTTAATTTGAAAATGCAATCTTAGCGTTTTCAGGTTTGAAACCAAAATAAATCCAGAAATGCAGGAATTACTTGAGGCTCAACTAAAGCCTAACTTTGGAAAGCAAAGTACCTGACCCAGTGGCCACCCCAAAGCTGCTTTTGTGCCATCAGTTCTAGACAGTAGTAGCTGAGTTCCAGCTCAGTTTCAGAACACTTTGGCCTCTGGAGCAGACAGACAGCAATATGAGAGCCTGGATGTTTTTATCCTGTCTCAAGGCAGAGTAAAACCATTTATCCAAGTTGGCTTTGGTGTGCTTTGAGCTGTCCCACCTCAGTGGACACTGACACAGGGCAGGAGTGACCACATGCTGAAGTTAATGCCTCTAAGCTGTAATAGTGGTGTCCTAGAAGATAGGCTACAGGCATGGGGGATCTCTGCTCAGCTAAATTTTCAAGAAAACAGGAATACAGACATCAGCACACTGGAGGGATGTTGCAATGCCTCGACTCTTCCATTGAAACATGTATTTGAAGCTCAAGGAGTTCTCAAGGTCCAGTACCTCTCCCTACCTTGACTGCAGTAGTTTTATTGCCTCACGTCTCTCCCTTGTCCCCCAGAGATGCAGAGCAGCCACAGGGTGTGGCTGAGGACAGGCCAGCAGTTTTTCAGTCGTGCAGCAATGTCTGATCTCTGGGGGATCTTGCCCACTGCACCACTGTTGAGTCTTCAGGCACCTGGGGCAGCTCCTGCTCTACTGCCTGTTGTCTTTGGAGACGTTGTGTGCCAGCCAGTTCACTTTGGTTTTCCAGCTCTCCCGCAGAGCTTCATTAAACTTCACTCTGAAGTGCTTCAGTGCCTCTTCATCAGTCTTCCCAAGGGCCAGGGAGTCCTGAAGGCAAGAGGCACAAATCAGTGCACAGCTGAACAAGGCACTGCTCAACCAGGAAGACATTTATTCATGAGAAATTACTCCACTGAGGGGAGGAATGGAGTAGCCAATTATTTTCAATTGTTCCTGCAGTTGCAGGAGGTTTTTTCTCTGATAAACACTTGCACTCTGCTTCTGTTGGTGCAGGGAAGAGCAGATTGCTCTTGGACAAAGTGTTCTGCAGCTTCCAGGGAGGGGTGGCTATGACTCAGGAGGCAAACTAGGAAATGAGAGCCAAGGGCTTTGCCTCCTTCCTGCCAGTGGGCACCTGCTGCCTTTGTGGTGAAGAACCTGAGGAGGTTTCTGAGCACCAGCACCTGGCATTTCTGATGTCCTGCACAGGGCATTGGACTCCACTCACTGTTCTGGAGCTCATCTGCTTCTCAGAATCTGGCCTGGCACACTGACCTCCTCCTCCTTCCCCAGCCACAAAATCAGGTGCTCAGTTTAACCCCTTGCATGGGCTGTGCTCTTACCTTTAGGTACTGGATGTCTTTGGAGCAGCTGAGCTCTGGCAGCCCAGCAGCCTTCATCAGTGCAAAGAGGTGCAGGAAGAGGAGCCCGTGGCGCCGCAGGATCATGTAGGCCCTCTCACAGTACCCCCTGAACCTGAGCAGGGCAAAGAGCAGCCAAAGGAGTGAGCACTGCAACTCCACCATTCTGTAAAGCATTTAAGCAGTCTGAACCCTGCTCTCTCCAGTTAATTTATTTACTTCCATCTGTACAGGCAGCTAGAAGCTGCCTTATGGGTGGAAATAAATACTAAATACTTATAGTACTAATACTCATTGGTGGAAATAAATACTAAAAATTCAGAGCTTCAAAAGCTGAAGTCAAGTTTAAGTCCCAGCACTTACCTTTCAAACTTCTCATTGTTGTTAGTTTTTCCTTGCTGGATGACGTGCACGAAGTCATAGGTTAAGATGAAAGGGACTCGTTCTCTATTGATACCAAATTTAGTCTTGAAGTTCCCCAAAAAGTGACCAAAATCGATATGGAACAGCTGCAAATAAAAAAAATTCAGAATATTACTTGTTTTTGCTGCTCAGAGCTGAGCTCTCTTCAGTTACTGCATTGAGCAGATCCTGGCCACAGGGGTCAGGGAGGGAGGGGAGTGGCCCTGCCTGGGCAGAGCCCCCTGCCCGAGCCCCCTCCTCACCTGCCCCAGCCCCCTCCTCACCTGCCCCGTCTCCCTGACCATGATGTTGTCGCTGTGCCGGTCCCCGATGCCCAGCACGTAGGTGGCCACGCAGTACCCAGCACAGGACAGGGTGAACTCCTCGATGGCTTGCTCCAAGGCATCCCTAGAGAGGGTGGGAAAGAGTGAAAGATAATTTGACTTTGGGCTCCAGCACTGCCCCGTGGGGAGGGCTGTTTGCAGCTGCAGGAGAAGGGAGGGAAGCTCGTCTGGATTCCCGTCGTGCTCTCTGGAGGCAGGACTCCCACCCCTGCTTCACAAAAAGGAGCTGCAAGGTCTGCCAGCGAAGGGCTCTGAGTAAGGTGGTGCCAAAATCTCGGTGGAAATGAGATCCACACGAGGCCTCCAGGTGTGCCAGGCAGGGGGGCAGCCCCAGCTGAAGGAAAAGGGGCAGGGAGGGAGAGGTGAGCCTCACCCCGGGTTCTTGGACTTGAGCCAGTTCAGCAGAGCGTCCTTGTTGAAGGCAGCCGTGGCCACCATGTTGCTCTTGTTGAGCTGGATGTTGGCGATGGTGTCCGAGTGCATGACCACCTCAATGAGCCCCGTCTTGTCTCCTGTGGAGAGGCAGCCATAAGGGGTCATCCTGCAGAGATGAAAGAAACCCTTCCACTGAAATCCTGCCCACAAATGGCTCGTGGTGACTTTTAAGCTTCCCCTTGCCTGCCCTGTCTCCTCCCTTGCTGCTGTGCCCCACAGAAGCTGCCCAGCTGCTCCAGACAGAGCTGCTGGGGGCAAAAGGAGCTTGCAGAGGAAGCAGCCTCTCCAGCCTGGCTGTCAGTGCAGGACAGCTGTGGGCACGCTGCTCACCTCAGGTCCAGGCCCTCCTGCTTCCACAGGATGTCCATCAGCTGGATCATCTGCAGAGTCAGCATGTCCTGGCGCAGATCTGGGCAGCATTGCGGAGGAAAAGATCATTTTACTGTTCAAAGCTATCCAAATCACCACTGCACCAAATCTTAATTAAAGGGGGAAGCAGGTGAAGTAAAAGCAGGTGAAATATAGAGGGGAGTTAATATATATTTTCAGATTACTACCAAAAAACTCACCCAAAAACATTAAAGTTCCTAATTTACACAACATCTTAATGGTCCAGATTTAGGCCCACTCACCCCAGTAAATACTTGAGACTAAAAGATATTTTCACAAGCATAATAAAGACTTACCATCTCCATTTTTAAAAATTATACCCACTCCACCTCGACCTGTCTCTTCATTATTAAACACAATCCACAAAGGTTTCATTTTGGAGTCCATGAAGGTGCACTGATCCACACTAGAGGAAATAAAAATATTATCCTCAGTTTCCATCTATTAAAACATCAGCCATCCAAGCTGCCAGTCCCACAGCAACCCCACCCACTGATGGACTTGGGACCTCCATGAGGAAAGAACCTTGGGATAACACAAAGCCTGGCTCCAGTGGGAAACAAAGCACAAAATCCACACGAATTCAGAGGTACAGATCTCTCCCTTACCAAACTTCAGCGAGGATAATGTTGGGGTTCAGGGGGGACTGGAGGTGGGAAAGGGCTTCCCTGTAGGTTTCCTGCTTCATGCACATGTGCATCATCTCCTTGGTCTGAGGCTTGG